TAAGTCAATAAATATTATGAATTATTTTCATTATGATAATGAGTATTTTCGTATAGCAGTTAACTTCTGTGTTAAATTCTGCTTTTTTAGTGCTCATAAAACAATGTTTACTCAGTCATTCGCATCTCATAAAATTTTTCTACAACAATGATTAAAATAAAAAATGATTTCAGTTAACAAGTTTGTCATGCTAAAAAAATTATTAATTAATCGGCTGCTCTGAGCTCAATTAAAACCATTACATTTTAGAATGCTTAAAATTTTGTTCCTAAGACGAACACTATTTTTACTTTATTAAAATTTCCTTTTTAAAATATTGTAAAATTAGGAGTTAAACATCATTATTTTCATGAAATTTAGACTGATCTGCATGTTTTGATACATCATTATTTATACTAATTTGTAAATGATAGCAANTCATAAGACGAACACTATTTTTACTTTATTAAAATTTCCTTTTTAAAATATTGTAAAATAAGGAGTTAAACATCATTATTTTCATGGAATTTAGACTGATCTGCATGTTTTGATACATCATTATTTATACTAATTTGTAAATGATAGCAAATGATTAAAATGTAGGGGAAAGTGGGGTCAATTGTAACAGGATACGATTGTAACAGAGCAAAAATTTCGAGTGTCGGGTTCTAGATTTGGTTCCTAGGTGGCGCACAAGGTGTATTTAATAAATCTACATGTACACCCCTGCTGGCAACCATTTTTATGTACTTTTGAAAGAGTTACATCACAAAAGATATTTTCACGCTACGCAAGTACTTTTTTTGGTATTAGAATATTATATTGTAACAAAGTAATTTTGTTTAAACAAATAAAAATTATTAACCGAATATTTAAGTGGACACCTTAATTAACATTTCCAAAAAAAAAAAATTAGTTTTGTTAATTAACTAGTATATTTTTTAACAAATGAAGCTGAAATGACGCCTTGGGGACAATTGTAACAGTAAGTAAAGGGACGATTGTAACAGCTGAAAATAAAATTCATAATTTCAATTGCAATTGCTTAACCCCTTTGGTCCCATTTCTTATGTTTACAAACCATTACTTAACTCTTGAAGAGCCACCAATAGTTTCCTATATCATTTATATTATGTTACATGTGCATTATTTTATTTGTCACCTTTCACAGCATAAATTAAAATTTTTAACCCCTTAAAGTTAAAAGTTTAACCCTTTAGGTCTCTGCTCATTATTATTTTTACTCCTAAAATATCACTACTATTTTGCTCAATAAAAAATATATCACAACTATGATAATATGTATAATTAACTATGTTTTAGTTGAATTTATGAACTGTTACAATTGACACCGTAAGTGGGGACAATTGTAACAAGTGCACGACTGTCAAAAATTGTTAATAACTAATATAATAACATTTAAAATAGGGTATTTATTTTTTTATAGTAGAGGATAGTCTACTTTACTCGTCTGTCAATTAATACTAATAATATATTGGATTTTTTGTTAGTTGAAAATAGATAAGTAAAAAATTTTGCAATTGACCCACTCTCCCCTACTGTTACCCTTCAAACTTTGGTTAGGATGTGATCGCTAAATTTAACTTTGGTAACAGTTACCCAGGTTCAACAATAGACAAATAACCAAGGAATTACAGGAAACACTTAAGATTTAAAACTAATCTTATTACAACTCTAAATTTTTAACAAACATAACTCCAATCATTTCCAAATGCTAACATGGGCATAAACATCTTCAAATTATACACTATTTCAAGTTCCAAATTTTTCTACACAAGATTAATCCTTTCAATATAATGCAATTTTAAAATTCTAAGGCATAACATTCCATTAATCCAAATCAAAAAAAGGCAAAGAAGAAATAAAATGCAATCTCATTCTAAATCTACTAAAATCACTTAAAATTTAGATTATTGTAAAAAAAATAAAACAATATTCACAAAGTCGTGTTTACTTTTAATGAAGAACAGTGTTGGAAAGTAGGTACAATCTTTATTCAGGAAGTTTTAAAAAAATCTGAAAATTTTCCGTTGCCTCTATGAACTTATGCAATATTTTGATGGTCAAGTGTCACTGTGCATTATCTCCAACAACAACAACAAAATGAAGAATATTGAATTTGAGATATCTTTGAACACGCTCAAATAAATGTTCACTTCAAATAAAAAGAACTAAAGGGTTTTGCAGCGTATTTATATAGATATATATTTTAAAAAAAAGAGAGAATAAGACTTTTACTTGAGAGCGGTAATGAATTGAACTCTTTTAGCTAATACCCATCCATCCATGATGTTTTTAGGTATCGGTACGGAAATCTACCCATTAAATTTTACTTTAAAGCATATCACAATTACTAAAATCATTTTCACTTTAATGATCAAATATTTGATGCTTAATAGTTTTAAATTTAATGTTTTCAAGTTTCTATTTTTTTTCCTCCAATAATTTTAGCTTCATCTCTAGAGTTAATCTACAAGGAAAGAACTTTCGAGATGGGCTGCTGGACACTGCCAATAGAAAAGACACACTCCGGTGGAAAACTGGGAGTTTTAAGTTCGATCCTGACAGTAAACGTTTGATCCTGTGACTGAAAGTCCTCTTGCTGGATGTTTTGAAGACTATTACTTGTGTTGATCCCTACTTTGTGTGTTTGTGAGGTATGCACATTATTAACTGCTGCGAATCATTTTATAAATATTTCAAAAAAGTATTTAAAGATTATTCGGTCTGTCGCTCGGAAATATAGTTGCAAATAAACAAACACTTGTAATTGAAGGAAGGAAATTCTAAATTGCATGAAACGACTCTAAATTGCTCTTTACAGAACGCTACTCTTACAAAATTTATTTTTGTTATAAAACATGTTATATATATATATATATATATAGCATGATAAATAAATACAAAAAAAATTAAGAAAAACAATAAGCATTCTTTTTTGTGGATATAATAGTGTGAGTTGATAAAAAGATTATATCTTTTATTTTCCTGATTTTTTTAAAATTTTTGTCCCTTTTTTCGGGATTTTTTTTCCCGGTTGCTTGTTATTTTTACTATTATTTTTCTTTTGTTTTTTCCCCTTCTTTCATTATTCTGTAATTTTTCCCTTGTTTTCTCTACATTTTGAACTTATTTGTATTTATATATCAGTTTAAAAATTTTTTAAATATTACAACAAGCTTTTTGGGAAACATATTCACTATGTTCATAAGGCATAATCTCTAATCAGTGAAATACAAGCAATGGAATTATTTTATATAACATGTTTTATAACAAAAATAAATTTTGTAAGAGTAGCGTTCTGTAAAGAGTAATTGATGGCAGTCTTTAAAACTAAAGGCTGCTTTAGAATATGATGTGAAAAATGTTATGTTTTTTCGTCTCGTTCTCGTATGCAATTATATGTTTGTGCAAATTTAATTGAATTTTTATAAAACACCATATTTACTACTTTTATCTGGTTTGGAAATATAAATGTTAGGTAAATGTTTTGGCTAAGATTGCTGGTTTAGTACATTTAAATAATGATGGAATTGTTTAAATTTGTTTAAATTGTTAAATTTCCTCTCAATTCACATGTAATTATAACTTTATAATAATACATGGGTAGTTTTTGTTCAGAATATGAATAATGTATGCTATTTGTGAAATTGCAAGAATAAAATGAGAGATGACTAAAGATAATAAAATTGGCTTAAGATTGATATAATTGGCTCATTTCTAAAGAGAGAAAATTAAGAATACATTTAAAATTAAAAATAAACACTTGAAATTGATTAATGATATAAAATGTATCAGAAACCTCATTAGATAAAGAAAGGAAAAAAATTATCAATAAAAGTTTAACTAGTCAAGTATTGTTTCTAAATTAAATTTGTAATATATATTTTAAAAAATCAACTGGACACAAAAGATACTTTGGAATATTGGGGGGGGGGGAATTCATAAATGTAATTTTATTTAGTAATTCTGTATTTCTAAGTAAATAATGCGTGGAATGACATTGTAAAATTATTGTTCTATGTTTCACTGCTACACAAGAATACAGAAAATGAACTAAAATTATATCGCCTAATTATTCTACTTCCATCCAATTCTTTCTCTTACTTATTCCAAAAATAAAAAGCGACGCAAGATAATAACAGAAAATATAATATTATATAGCATCTATACCAATGCAAAATAATATTACGGCGAACGCTAGATAATATTAGTTTGCATAGAATCTATCGTTTTATAATGCTGAGAAAACAAAGACCTTTAGTATCTTTCTAATATTCGTTGCAAGTTGCGCAAGATAACGTTGGATTTTTTTGCTTTTCTGATGTTATCTAATATTAGGTGCTACTTGGGTATTTCATTTCTACTAAAACGCTTACTTTTTCGATGTTAATGACTGAGCGATATTTTCAGTGACGATGTTTACTTTTCATTAAGGATCATTTTTCTAATTTTTTTTTTCTTTATTACCTAATGACACATCTTTGTAGCGCCGAAAAGGTCTCCAATTGAAAGACTTTCGAAGTCAGTAGATGAAATATATTTATCTGAGGGATATTCCGATATACGACATAAATGTAATCCAAGGGCTCGTATTTGTTTTCATTAGTTTTCGATCCCTGGACGAAGTAATAAAAAGTTTGAAAGCTTCAACCTTAAAGCAGAATCTAACATAGAAATCAATTTAATGAGAAAAAAAGTAATTTTGACTTTATAATCAGCGAATAAAGAGTTAATAAGATAATTCAAAACAAAGGAAAAAAAAAGACTGTTTCAAATAAAAAAGACAACAAAAAAAATATTTTTCCGATCCAATAGATTAGATGAAAATCCAATAGTCCATCTACCTCGACTTGGCGCAAAAATAAAGGGACATTGTTTGTCCTCAATTTTATTCTCTCTCTTCCTATTCTTTTAAGAGAAAAGAGGATGCAGGAGGGAAGGTGACGTCGTCCCTCTCAACGGGAATGGTTGTTGCCCGGGTGAGAAAGGGGCGCCCCCACGCGTTGCCGCCCCATCAGATGATGATCAGCCACCCTTCGCCAAAGTTTGAAGGTAAGCAATGCATCATTATTTTAAACAAAATGCGGGATTACTTTTGCTATCATTTCTTGACTTCGAAGTTATATTCGATTGTTAAGACACATCTTATTGGGGTTATTCATCGTGAGGACAATCTCTCTTATTTATTCTATCTCGTTTTAATGACCATAAATAAGAATAATGTTTCGGAAAAAAAATTTATTTTAGAGATTTAAAATGTTTGTATTTCCTAATTTTCCCGCCAGTTAGCTTTTTTTATCAAAAGAACTTTTTTCCTTCTTTTCCTTGTATGAAAACAAACAAAACAACGTTTTCATTCAGAGAATTATCATAATTTCGGAAATTTAAATCCCGATTTTTGAACAGTTGAAAAACAGAATGTGTTTAATTTCATAACTTTTAAGCCCCTTTAATGCCTTGATGACCAGTTATGCTTGAGATGCTTCTAAATGCCTCTTTAAATTAAAAGAATATTGACATAAATTTCATATAATTTTTAAGCATTAATTTCTTTCAAATTTATTAAAAGTTGGTAATGTGATATTTTTTTAAATGCTGATGGCCTATTAAGTGAATTATTGAGAATAGAGCACTTATTTTTTAAAGCCAGGCTCAAATATATTTATTTATTCGAAACGTTAAAAAAACGAGAGTAATTTGTAGAATAACTTTTGAATTTTTTTTTATTAAACATATAATTTTAAAAACAATATTGTAAATACTTGATTTCTTTTTTCTTATATGAACTTTTTTTTTTAAATTAAAAACAATTAAGGAAAGGATTTTTTTTTCTTGGCATGTTGCATTTCATTTCTTATCGTTTAATATTCTTACTTAAAATTTAAAATGAAAAGAAGCGACCTGGCAGTGTTTATTGTTGTCTTGATTTCCCTGACAGAAAATACTTTTTGTCTATATTTGTTTCTTATTTCTTACTTTTTTTCTGATCTGAGTGTTCAAAACATCCCATGTTTTACGATTTCAAATGCAGATTTTAAATTAATTGCAGATTCAAATACAGATATGAAGTAAATTCAAATTAAGCAATTAAATGAAATTAATTTTAAATTCCAACATCTTTTACTTTAGTTAATAAAGACATTAAAAATTTCATAATTCAATAGTTCAAACTTACCGTGCATTAATTATTTATACATGGTTCAGGCATATAGCCTTTCGCGTAGGAATCATTGTTTCAAACGATATGGGAATGTGATAATTTTATTAAAAATAAACACAACTTTAAATTTTGCAAAGTTAAATTTTTATAATAATTTATTCAAGTGTCATACGTCTTTTTAACGTATTCAGCTAATGCCGAAACAAATCCTATATTTTTGCAATCATTTTGTTGTTTTGTTGTTGATGAAGTCTTGTAGTTTCACAATAAGTGATTCCTCTCTTTCATGTGATTTTTAAAATGGATTGATTCCAATCAACAATACAGCAGTCATATAAGGTTATTAAAGAGGAAATTCGGGGATTATTTACTACCTTACTTTATGCATACTTTATACCCTAAACGAAATATTCACTGTGTTTTCATTTTGAAATGATTTAAACTCTGCTTTAAAATTATTTGATTAAAATACGATTACAAATCTTACTTAAATGTTGCTATGATTATTATTAAGAATATTAACAAATTGATGTTGGTTATGTTTTTTCCTAATGCAGCAGTACCATAAAGCTTTCTACATACTGATCTCAAGCTAGTATGAGTTACGGTTAACAAAATTATTTTGGAAATTGTGAAAAATTTATGTTTAGAACAGAGTAATTAAGATGTTCAAAATAGTATATTTTAGTGTTCCTTCACGATAAAACTTATTACATTAAGCAAATAAAATTATACTTTTCTTTTAGTTCGTCTTTTTTCCGTTTTAAAAGTCTACTAGCATGCTGTAGTTTAATATACATCTCCAAAAAAATTCCGATCTTTCTTGATTTTTTCTATGGACGTGGATTGGACTAATGAGTTAATATGTTGGAATATTACTTCAAATTTCCAAACTATCATTCGTGGTATACAAAAGTTATAGATAGGCAAGTTTTTAAAAAAAATTTGATAAAACGATTAGACGCAGATTTTAATCAGTGAATAATTAAGAATTTTACTTAGCTTTTCTTGGAATATTTAAATAAAATTTCTTTATTCTTTTAATATATGTGGGTGAAGATATAAAATCTAACTTGCTATATATTTAGGTAGTACAGCACTCAAAGTTGACAGCGTTTAACCCTGAATAACTTTTACGTAAGGGTCGAATTTTTAAGTGCATTTCCGTGCTTTGGGGCTCCTATTAGATGTTATAATTGTGGGCTAGTAGTTACCGACAATGTCAACCTCCATCTATGAAAAGTAACTCGACATAGAATCGAGTTAACATGTCGTATATAGAATTGGAATTATATTTTTCTAGTGGTAGATATACACTACATAATTAATTGGTACAAACGAGGATTCAAGTTATGAAATTAGAATTTTTTTTTAAAAATGTAATTTTTCATTCGAAACATATTTTTTCTAAACACAACAAAAAATATTCTGCATTCGAATTGCTGACCCCTTATAGCCACACCCCGATATGGGGTACGTCAGCAATCTGAAAGAGTACGATATTAACAGTTAAAAGTTTGATATTATTTTTTGCGTACTTCTTTGTATCTCAACTAAGAATATTTAATAGCTGTTGGAAGCATTTTATACTACTTGTTTGCTGGTCAGCCTACACGCACCGACCCCACCGGCTTTGCGTCTGGCTGGATAAATACGTCTATTAGGCTAATCACCCCACAAAATATCTAAATGGATCATTTATTCTTATTATCTTTTAGAGACTGAACTTGACACTTCTATTTTAGTGAAAACACGTTGTTTTGCTTCACGGTTAATTGAAATAATTACTCCGAAAAGAAACTATATATATATATATATATATAAATATATAGTGATTTAAACAGCTTAAATAT